TGATTCCGCACCAGAGGAATACAAGAAACTTGCCGAGCGGTGTTGTGATGCTGATCCTGATAAGCGTCCAGATGCACTGACACTTTGGAAGAATATTGACAAGCTTATTAAAGAGATGGACAAGGATGACACCACGTGGAATGCCGTTTATTATAATGATGTAAAACCGTTATCACGTCTCGAGAAGGAGAGTAAATATTCTAGCACGCTCTTACCTACTGGAAATCTGCCTAAACCAAGAAATAGTTCTTATCAGTTACCTCCCTTATCAGATTTCAGCTTGTCAAGTTTAGAGGTAGCGTTAGGGGAGGTTGACGAGGAGTGAGGGAATTTAGTGCTGGTTACGAAGACAACAATTGGTTCTGTTCATATACAATCTACAAGATTAACATCGTCCATTGCTTATTATCACTCTTTCGAATAAACTTGTAATTCGCGGTTATTTACATTTTATTTAAGGGTTTGCTCCTCTTCCAATTAAATAAATTAAATATTATTTGCTTCCACGTATGTCAATATGAGTCGATACTGAAATAAAATCGTGACGTTACTATTAACTTAGCTGCCTTTTCCGGGTGAGTATATTATTTAAAGTTAATAAAACTAGTAATGAGTTTGTTCCTAGATAAAAATGCGTAGCTACATTCGAGCTCTGTTCGCTGGACGATGAAGCTTCATTGTCCAATTCAGCACCGGCCGGATGATGCGTATTTCCTAACATTATTTTCATATTCAAACCGATTCTTTCCCAAAATGACCCATGCAAGATGCAAGATTATCCTGTTCGACTCTTCATCGTGATTGCTTTCATTTGGACATTAGATAATACTTTGATCGATGCGATAAAAGCAGAGCCCACTCGAAATCTTCCGATTGAAGAACTAAAACCTTAGTTCGTTCCACTGCGCGAGTCAATCCACTCATATCCCTCGAAGATCTATCGCCAACTCTTTTCATGATATTGCTGCATAGCCTTGACGCGTAACGATGCAATTTTAACGGTATCCAACCAACTTGCTATCAATAACTGCTCTGTTCATATCAACCACTCCATTCCCAACCTGTCTGAGCATATACTAGCTAATTGCAACAATAATATCTCGGATCGAAGAAGCATTCTTTAGCATATCATCATCCGCTCGTGGTCCACCTGCAATCTGCTTTTTTCGTCTGAATAAAGTCGGATACATTCCATAGTAACGGCTGTAAGACTAATACTAGTATTCAAATCACCCATCCGTTGCCCAAATAGATAGATCAATTGTATTTTATTGATGCATTGCTTTAAGCATTCGGGTAAGAAGATCTATACATATTAGCTGAAGGCAAGGAAAGGCGACGCAAACAGGTCCCGACGTCTTTGCACTTGATGCACATCGTCGAACGTACTCCTACTTTCGACACTTGAGCGACTTCCCCGGTTATGCCTCCCGAACCCTCCATGTGACTAGAAGCAACACACACAATTTCGAATGGCGTGTTCTGTCTTTATAAAGCAAATTCTTGTGCTTTAAATTTATAGGAAAAGAAGAAGAGAATTAGCAAAAGAACAAATAACCAAGACAAATTCATAAAAACTCGACGCAAGAATTACCGCAATGTACGACGTGATGATCGCTCTAATCATCCATAAAGTAAGTGTCCTGACGTCCGAAGCAATTTATTCAGAGTCTCCAAACTCATCACTTCTACGTAGTAGCCTTTAGCATTACCTGAAGCAACGTTTTGGTCGGAATTATTCATCAAGGCTACAAAAAGTTGCATTCGTATTTTTCCAATCCAACTTCGCTAGCATACAAACATTGCCAAAGTTACAATGTCATTCATCGATTCACAACTTTGGTGTATGCGATTATCAATTGAGATATCAGGCTAAGAGAGGTTCGCGCGCAGTCAAACGAGTAGCAATTTTTCGATAGCAAATGATTGATTTATAGTCATATGTATTAGGTTGATAATCGGAGGAATTTACCTTCCAGGTCGCACAACCCGACACGTCGTACAGTCCATAATATTTCTATTTATGGAGGAGAAGCCATCTGAGTGTCCAATGAAAGGATGATATTTGAGCTTGCGCGACCTGGCAGGTTGTGTGACATGGCAGGTAAATTCCCGATAATATTAGGTTGCCGCTATATAAAACAATCATCTGTCACCCGATCTGCAAGAAGATTTTACCATGTGACTTACTCCGCTCCCAATAGAAATACAGTCACTCATTAATATAGATATCTCCCAATACAGCTTTTATTCTCTTCCTTAGATAAAACCAGCTTAAACTGAGCTTTAGCGAGCATCTCGTTGTGAATAAAAGTTCCTCGCGATAGTTATTAATTTTTATTCTGTCCACCCGCATTGTCACAAGTAGTCTTTAGATGTTTTTCGCCTTTATTCAATTTCTACTCAATGTACCATCCCTATAATTTCGTCTTCATCGAGAACGTAATTAATTTGTTCGCGTACTGCTTCACTTGTATACCAAATAAATGCACTTTACGTGGACCAAGATAATAAATTTTACTTACCTGTTGATCGGAATGGGGAACGTGGACGGTTGCGCTCAATCGTAACTGTAACATCAACGCTACAATAATCGGCTTTACCTCCTGTTATACATAGTGTGTCTCAAAAAAAATGGTGGTAACAAAAAAATTTGGGTTTCCACAATTATACAACATAACTAGATAAATTTATGCTCATTTGAAAGGTTATGAGCTGCTTGATTAATGAAAAAAATTTCAATATGTAATTTTATTGCCGTTGTGTTGTAAAATTAGTTCACATCTCCGTTTCATAGACAAAATAATATTTTGTACTGTTTCTTGAAGGATTTACAGATCGGTCTTCCTCCATGTTTATGCCATCTACGGATTTTGTTACGAAAACCGTTTCATCCGTAACTATTGTATGTTGTCAATCATCATTCATGTGAGCTTGTGCCCACATCATTCTTGCTTATCAGACAGCATTGGAGTCCAAGGAGTATAGTCTTTTCTTCGCATGTCGCCAGATAGTATTATGTGAAACTAATGCAATATTATTACATGTTTCTTGAAGCAAGCTGACGAGTCAAAATGGCACTGTTATAGCGAACAGCTTGCCCAATAGAACGTGACAAGCTTTGGGTAATTTTGGTGGACGTCCACTACCCTTCTTGCGTTCAATGGATTTGCATTCTTTTTGAGCTTGCGAAGATTATTCTCAACTATACGTAAAGAAATGTCAGTTTTTTTGTGTATTTCTTTTGCTAAACAAATGCCATTTTGCCAATAGTTTGTCGCTGAGTTTCAAATTTGGACTTAACCATGTCATAAAGTTCTACAAAGACAAACTTTTAAATTATTTCCCTATAGAAACGGGCAATAATCAAAAAAAATTTGGAAAAAATTAGTAAACGAAGTAAAGCAAACTTGCTGATACAAACGCGCTCAACAGAAGGTTAATAATCATAAATAATTAATTTTTTTTTGTAAACAAACGCGTTTTTTTATTCGCAAACCATCATCATTATTTTTTTGAGACAACTGTACCAATTTTCTGCTAATTTCGTATTTTTGACGTAATAATTTCTTGGACTCATAATATAAGGCGTTAATTGGTGCCATACCTTGCGGGACGTATAATATTTTAACGATTTCAACGTGCTATCGATTTCAAGACCTGCAATAAAAGCACGATAGACCGATTTATAACTCGTTTTGGCTGGTAAAAGTGTAAGCGTTTGAGTAATACAATTGACATTTCTATCGGGACTTGGTGGTTCATGGATTCAGCGTAATTCTCGATTCGCGGCCGTAACAACAGTTGTATCAATGGTTATTTTAGTCTTTCATCGCGGCACTCGCTTTATGTTACCATGAACACGCGGTATTATACCATTCGTCGCTAGGTGATTTCCAAATGAGTGCGGCCAATTTCTAACATATTGAGATACGTTTTCTGACATTGCGATCTCAATAACAAAAAGTTCTCTTATTAGTACGCGTTTTCTTTTTAAGACGTCGGCTGGCAGTTATCTCTCCACCATTCATTGTTTTCAGTTGGGCCATTAAAATATATATTGTTTGGATCTTGAGACGCTTCACGTAACTCAGGAGTTGATTACTCTGCTGTCGCTGTTTGTCGTGGACGTGCAAAATTTTTTCATTTTTGAGCAACCAAATTTGCAACCTGTCTCCAAGAAACGCATTGCTTTTTCATATTCGATGGAACTATTGTAATTATAAATTTCCATATACAGGTGATCCTATATAATTTTATCAATTTAATTCTTTCATATACACATACTTTTCTGTCTCATGCTCTCACTTTCATGTGCTTTTATTACTGTTTTGCATACATCTAAGAATTTGCAATCACTCAAGTGTGTACTAATGAACAATCCAATGGCAGTTTTCTGGCAATGGGAAATAACAGTTATCTTATTGTATTGTTTACGTTTTTCCTTTTAAGCACAACAGAAGATTAGGTGTGACAAAAAACCACCTTGATTATCCCCATTCATCACTCATCCCATTTTCTTTTTTGACGGGTTCAATAACCTGTGTAACAGTAATACAGTTCTTCTCGCTATTACAAATGGATCTTGTGTTTCCAAAATCTTCAAACTTTGATTCACCATGACTCGATTACAGAAACATTCGCTTCGATCTCGCAGACCACTAAACTATCGTGAGAAAAGTGTGTATATCTATATATGAAATCAGTAAACGAACACCCTAAAATGAATATACCGTTTTCTGATTTGTTTACAATGTAACAAATACAGTTCAAAAAATAAAAAAGAATAGGCTAATACATAAAGCAAAGGTTAAAAAGGAATTTCACAAATTTTTGAAGAAGGACGACCTCATTACCAAGACACCAGAATTTATTAAAAAAGTAAGTGCAAGAAAAAGCCTTGAAATAGAGAATCCCGGATATCTAAACTCAATCTGATGGTTAACTATAGATCTTTGAAGAGGGTGAGGAAGAAAACGTGAAGGAAACAATCGATCATGAACAACAGTCACAAGGCACAGATAATAATGATAATGCCGAACGCATAGTAGATGAACACAGTCCGGATGAGACGACTGATAGTGAGACGAGTAATGACGAGCATTTAAACACCGATGAATCTGCAAAAGGCAAAGCCCAGGATGTGGGAAGCGTATGTTTAATTAATTGCTGCATTCATCAACTCATTCCTTAGTTGCTATAGAATTGACTAAGCATACATTTCAATTCCTTTAGCACATTAAACGGAACAAGTAAGATTTCGTATGTGAAATTTTGTTGAGGCCGTTCAATACATTATCTCATCTTTTTGTTTTTGCAGAAAACATAAACCAAATCCGTTCCAGAAAGTCCTCAACGAAAGCGAGCGACGGAGACAGGAAAAACAGGAACAAATCAAGGTAGTGTGACTAACAGAAGAGTCTGTTTATTAATCAATATTTCGATTTGTTAATAATAACCTACGCCCATGTCCTCATGATCCGACAGGCTGCTCATAGACAAAAGGAATTAGAAAATCAAAGGCAAGAAGTTTACAAGGTTCAACGCAAGCGAACAAAAAAGCAGTTGTGGAAACGAACAGCTAAAGGACAGCCAGTGATGAAGACACAGATCGAACATTTACTGTCGAAATTAAGTCGAGAGATTAAAGATGAATAATTTATATCTATTTTGCGACTCCAATAATCTTTTTCTTGCGTTCCGCTTGATACGGTACTGTCCCCTCTTTTGAATGTTTTCTGAGATTTTCCTCTTTTCGTTTTTGTGCGCTGAGCATAATTTGTTTCTTCTGCTGCATAGACTTGATCTCTTTGGGTATATGACGGTGTCTTTACAAGTAAAATTGACAGTATTAGCAATGATGTGTAAAATCGACAATGCATATACGTAGCAGAGTTCAGAGATTCTTTATAAAAATACCTTGCAATACGTCTGATCTCGGGCAAATCTTTATATCGCGCTTTGAGTTGTTCAGAATATTCCAGATAAGCCCGCTCCCGATAACTTTTCTATTTCATACAATAATATAATAAATGTCTAACTCAATCAATATTATATTAATTTCTTTGAGTACTCACCGCTCCTAGTTTCTCAGAGGCTTTAGCTTTCCATAACCTGACATTGCCGTCATCTGAGCCTGATAATACAAATTTAGAATCGACGCTATATTTGACACAGAATATTCTCTGCATTCTCTTGGTATGGTAGACGTCTCGACTATGTCCTTCACGTGATCTGAATATTCGAAGCGTGCGATCATATGCACCTGTTACTATTTCTTCACCAGTTGGTGAATAATCAACGTCGAGACTATGTTTACATAAACGAGATTAGGATTGGAAATTACTGAAACATCAAAAATACGAACGAGACGATCGAAATGAACGTACACCGCTGACACGTGATCTTTGAAAATATTTAATGCTACGTTCATTTTCCGCATGTCGAATGTGTAGCAGTTTTGGTCTTCATTAGCCTATTAAATGTCGTATCTTCAGACCAATTGACCATATGAATTTTCCATGCATGGCAAAGATAAGGTACACATACCGTGGTAAAGTTGAATGCTTCCATCGGATTCCATGATATGGCATTCGTCTTCATCTATGAATTTACAGCTACGTTAGGCTAAAAAATCGATTACAGAAGATGCGAATATACAGACACATGACTTACTTCCATCAGCATTTTAGCCAGTGGAGAACCCGTTCGCAGGTCATATAGGATGATCGAACGATCGTTACCGCAACCTGCTAGTATACTCTTCTCGGTCTGATTGAATCGTACTGTGTTTATTGTATCTGCACTCCATGAGAACGTGTTTATAGGCTGAGATCTAGGCAGAATAAATAACAGAGAAGAGGGCAAAGATCGTACAATGCAATTGGTCAGTTTTATAGAACTAGTGATTAATACCCTGAATAGGATATATGCGCATGCTTTACCTGCTCTCGTCCCAAATTTCTATTTGAGTACTTGAAGTAGCAAAAATAGGATCGGACCGATGATGATCTATCGCACTATATTTATCTCATTCGTGAATTGCGCTTAACAGTAATCATTTCTGCATATTATGGGCCTTTACCTGTACGCAAACTTCCCCAAATATGTATTCGCAGGCTATATAAGACAGGAAATCAGTCGTACTTGACAACTCACCTATTACAAGACTACGAATAAAAATCTTACCTCACCTCAGTCGATACGTCAGGGTTCCACACTTTTACAGTCTTGTCAAGGCCGCATGACAGAAAAACATTTCCTGCAGGACCACAGCAAACTCCTTTGACAGTACCCTTGTGTCCCTGGACACTCCAAACAGTGGTTCGATCGGCTAAATCCCACAGTCGAATTTCTAAACAATTCATCTCTCTTAGTCTAAATGTATCGCAATCATAATTCCACTGCTTTCTTGATTCAACTCACCCCCATCACCACTCCCAGATATCAGCGAAGTAATCTTTCTTGGATTCTTTGCCATACAATAGACGCCATCGTTGTGACCATTAAGAGCACCAACAAACGGTTTTGCAAACATCCGTTCTAGCTTCACTGCATTCAGTGCGCGCGTGTATTCGCGAGCTTTTTCGAGTGGGTGAAGAACTGGATCATAATTTCTTCTTATTCTATGAAGATCGCTGGATTTCTCGCGTATATACTCTTCGGGTTTACGTGTGAGCACTTTAACTTTCTGTTTTTAAAGTATCGTAAAAGAAAGAAGGGTTTCAGGCGGACGCTATTTAACGGGAATGGATAATTAGATACCAAAGCATAACGTACCATTTCTTTCGTTTAACGGGTTGGCTGTAATAGAAATCAAGAAATTCTTTTCATGATGGTAACACAAGATTTGATAAATATTATAATAGCCAGCATATCAATTAAATTAATATAATAAATACTTACCAATTCCTCTTTATAAATCCGCACCAGGGAGTGAACTAGTTGAGAGATCTGTGAATTGGCCGGCAAATAGCCTCCAAGTACGGCTTGAAGAAGTGCGACCGTACTAAAATCAGCTTCTCCGGATGACCATTATATTTAACTTCGAATGGGTCGGAGAATAAATTCTACACTAACGCGTTATTAATAATGATCCTGATGTCGAAGCTTCCGCCGATACGGGAAAGCGTTTTATACTTTTACCAGCGATAGAAAATCTACCAGGGAATTAACGATATAAATTTATATTTAAACACGGATTTTATTAGAATATAAAGGACTATTCTAATTGCAAGCAAGACATTTAATAAGAACAATTATTGAAATAAAGGATGATCGTGCTTATCGTTATATTAATATAACTTTCTATCGTTTCACTAAACTAATTGCCTTGTCCTCAGTACTATATCATTGCATTGAGCCCATTTATATTGTATTGACATGGGGAGTAGCAATATGGATTTTTAAAAACCTTATCATTTTTAATCTCGTCTTCTATGTCTTCCGGCATGCTTTCTCTCGAACCTATTTGAAGTTCAAGGGACAGTATTATCATCTGATTTGATTCTTGGTTAAAGATATTTACAGACTTCTGTTTTTTACCTCTTTTAAATTGAGGTTGCTCCGATTGATCGTGGTTTTCGTAAGATCGTTTAGGCGCTTCAGTAATATACCCAGTTCCACAACAAATTGTATTTCAGTCGCAAAATAAAAACGCTTTTTTCATTCTCCATAAGATTCAGAAGTCCCAACCTTGTACAGATAAATTATATGCGTTAATGTGTTGGACAATTAAAATTATCTAGTTAGAGGCTTGTCACAAGCTGGTTATAGCAAAGACACAGTCCATAACTATGCAACGATGCAGTTCCACGGGCACTAAATATAACTTAGCCATCATTTGTAGCTTATGAAATTATACCAACCTTTTTGGCTGTTGTACATTCATTTTCATCTGTGGTATATATTAATATATCTTTGACTGATAATTATTCCTTCAACTCTGACCAGAGGGCTAAAGAATCCCATGTGAATTAACCCCATGCTTAACTGTTGTATCACAGTTAAACCCAATGTTTCCCCGTCCTATTAGTGCCTTACAACATCGATGAAAGTTTTTATATCCTTGTTCTTATCAGTAAGTTCAAATCTTATCAATATCAAGTCTTCATACCAGGGATGGCACAAGCTATTCCTAACTAAATCCGAAAATATTATTAATCATATCTATTTAACAGTGATAAGAATAAAATATTTATTCAAAACTTCCTTTTTTTAATTTTTTTTTCTTTTGCTCATTATGATTACAATATTGATAATAATATTAATTAAGTTAATTATTACATTAGGTGGATAAACAATTGAATAACTATTGCTTCCAACCAGGCATATGCCAAGCAGCAAACTCACCGAATTGGACCGTCAAACTCGCTCCACTCCTTCACGACAGAAAAAGAAAATAGAGTTAGTTTATAACGTAAAGTAAATGCGATACTTACCTTATACTTACCCAAAACCTTCTACCCGTCATCTAAAAGCTGTGTAAAAAAGAAGAAAGGAGATGTCGTGATAGTGTTCCGGGCATACTCCATCTCATATAGGTCTTGTATATATCCATAACATTGTGAACCGTATACGCATAAACCATCCTTAGGTATATCCCCCGTGACCCACTTATCAGAGGACCGGTGCCAGTCCCTTCACCGCAGGCGAGCACTGGTGAGTAGAGGGGCGTCACCGCTGCCCGATCCAGATCCGCTCCCGTCCACCAGTTGAGACAAAAGAAAGCAGCTACCTAGTTAACCAGTTAAAAAGAGCAATACTCTGTTAGTGAACGATTATTTATCCACCCATTTACCTCACTAAAGTACTCTATTGTCCGTCCTCTCAAAGCCAACTCCTTTCTTTATTTCGCCCGCTCCGCTTTGTCAGCATGCAAGTTAGATCGCTTGGTGTTGTCAATATCTTAACGCGCTGATGATAATAATAACGATGCAAAAGTATTCCGCGTATAGAACGAGATTATGGTGTCGGGAAACCTTTTCGAAATCGAGACGGTGACTCATATATTTCTAATAATTTTGAGGGTTATTTTATGACAGGGATTATTTGTTTTACCGACGACGAAAAGATATATGAAAATACGTTGAATATCTGAATAAGTTAATAAACTTACGTGTAATACAATTTTCCCGAACTCCTTTTACCGCATTATTATTCTACTCGGTGCGGTACTGCGAACTTTTTCGTCGGCTGTGGTCGATAAACTAAGTTTCAAAGACTTGTTCGAGAGTTGTAGCAAACCGTCGTATGTGCGCAACATGGAGTGGCGGCGAAGGATTGTTGTGTTGTATATTCAACTTTCAGATAATGTTGTTGATTCGATTGTTCTAGATAATTTTTTTTTTAAAGAAAAAAGGTAAGAAACGAATTTCTTAACAAGGGAGTGAGTGAACGAATCAGGTTTAAAGGACGTACGGGGCTACCCAAAGAACTATACTTCAATGAGTAAGCCCAAACGGGAACATGTCAAACTATCCTTGAATGAGTGCGTCTGTACGATGTTTAAAGAACATGCCAGACATCTATGAATTGGAGTGAGTTTGAACGAACCACGTTTATAGGGCGCATCAACCCAAAGAACTATACTTCAATGAATAACACCCGGCCCCAAACGGAACATGTCAAACCATCCACATGCCTTGTTTTCTCCACGAGCGCCTTGTCTTTTTCCCGATCGCGGAAAGAGTAGCGTTTGGATATATGTGTGTATATGAGCATCGATTACGTGGTCGATAAACTGAGTCGTCGCGTTGTATGTGCGGGAGTGGCGGCGAAGGGTCGTTGCGTTGTATATTTCGAATAACGTTGTTAATTCGATTGTTCTAGATAATTTTTTTTTTAAAAAAAAAAAAAGGTAAGAAACGAATTTCTTAACAAGGGAGTGAGTGAACGAATCAGGTTTAAAGGACGTACGGGGGCTACCAAAGAACTATACTTCAATGAGTAAGCCCAAACGGGAACATGTCAAACTATCCTTGAATGAGTGCGTCTGTACGATGTTTAAAGAACATGCCAGACATCTATGAATTGGAGTGAGTTTGAACGAACCACGTTTATAGGGCGCATCAACCCAAAGAACTATACTTCAATGAATAACACCCGGCCCCAAACGGAACATGTCAAACCATCCACATGCCTTGTTTTCTCCACGAGCGCCTTGTCTTTTTCCCGATCGCAGAAAGAGTAGCGTTTGTGGTTGATAAACGGTGTCATTTTGAATACTTGTTCGTAAGTCGTAGCAAAGTGTCGTAGCGGTAAAGGTTTGTTGCATTGTATATTGACTTTTCGATAACGTTGTATTTGTACTTTGAGGTTGTTGTGAGTGCAATGGAGAGAGGAGTGTCGGAGAGGAGTGTCGGAGAGGAGTGTCTGGGTATATATATATATATATATATATATATATGAATAGACGCGTGTTTGCGTGTTAATGATAAAGATGTACTACTTGATATTGTTGTCGTGCGCGACCTTATAAGTATAAATGTTGTTATTTACGCAGTAAGGGGTGTGAGAGTCAGCCACAACGATCACTGTCAACCAATAGTAAACATAAGCGGGTATCGATATATTGCTTAGTGTAACACATCATTGCATCATATCGCGTGTGCACCAAAATGTTACGTTGATACTATTGTTCTTATTTACGGAAACAATCGTGACAGTCGTAGTAAAAAAATTTTTCACTGGTTAATAAGCCCGATAAGTCACGCGTATAAATGTAATCTTATGATGTTCGCGTGTTAGATGGGAAGGTGACATACATTTGTACTACTTGATATTATCAATTGTTGTCGTACGCAACTTTATATGTTATCTATGCAATAAGGAGCGTGAGAGTCTGCAACTGCATGAGCGCTTTTGTTATTGATGATATCGACTCAGTTTAATCGCGTGACTTGTCGAACTTGTTAACCAGTGAAAAATTTTTTACCGCGACTGTCACGATTGTTTTCGTAAATAAGAACAATAGTATCAACGTAACATTTTGGTGCACACGCGATATGTGTTACATTAGGCAATATATCCGCTTATGTTTACCATTAGTTGATAGTGATTGTTGTGGCTGACTCTCACACCCCTTACTGCGTAAATCACGGCAACATTTCTACGTAACTAAGAACAATGATACGTACGTATCGGTGTAACATTCGGGAGCAACGCAGTAAAATATTTTTCACTGGTTAATAAGTCCGATAAGTCACACGTATAATTTTAATTCTACGATAATGTCGTGCCGACGGTTACAGAAGAGCGGATAATTATCGATACTTGGAAGGTGTGGCTACTCCTACTTGTTAAGTTAAATATAACGTCAATTAGTGACCTTTTAATCAGGCTTTACCATTCACGACTCTCTAATAGTCGATCGATAGACGCCAATCCTCGATAAATACGTCGTTCCTCGAGTATATTCACTATTATCCGCCGATGAGATTAGTTTCGATGGTCTATAGTTCTGAGGTGTTCGTATAATTATCAACGCGGGACAAGAGGCAAATACTCCTGAACGATATAGGGATTAACGGTTTCTCAGATACGTACATATATCGCAATTTACTAGAGAACAAATCATTAATAATCTATTTCAGAGTATAAAAAACTACTTGTTTATTATTAGAAAGAGATATTAATTGAACATTACATCGACATTTAAGAAACAGCGAATGTGATGCCAGTTTCGCCTAGATTTAGCTACGCATACTAAGTGCCAATTTAACCTAAAAGGTAATTGACACTGTTATTAATATTGCCAGATTACACCAAAATTCAAAAATTGTCATTTTCTGGCAGCTACTTAGTGTGTAATGTTTGTGATCCCATCGGAATTACACAGAAATTAGGGAGGAATAAGTCGGATTTGGCTTAACTCGGACAAAAATTTTCGGTACCTTTTTTGAATAGTTAAAAATTTTCGATAAGTCGGACGACACATATAAAATCGCAATGACTCTTGATAAGTTGGAGTTTTGCGTTCTTTATTTGTTTACACCTACGATTGAACGCTAAAGGTGTACACTCTTGATAAGTTGGACCACGTGATTTCAGCATCAGCTGTCACATTTATTGTTATTTTAGCATGTGCTTCCCCCCCCCCCCTCGATGGTATATGCTCCTGAAATTATAGACTAATTTGCTAATAGTTCAGACTTTAAATCTTATTAAATATTTGGCCATTGTTAAAAAAAATGCATACCCAAAAATCTACGGGAAAATGGAGTTCTATTTCAGAAACTCTCTCTAATTAGTTTGGTAAAATCAATAAAGAGACCGTGCAAACTAGTGTTAGAAAATAATGGCGATCGAATTCCCCGATAATAATGCATAAATAAAACTACTTGTCTCAAGCTTTCAAATGTATCGTGCGACATTTGATGCTGGCGGTGCAGTGTCCAATTTTTTTAAATACCTGTATTTTACATACACAGTCAGTCTCGATTCGGCCACTCAATAAGTCGGTAAATTCTCGATAAGCTGTAAGTCGGCCAACAGCTCCAGTTGAACACATCTCGATAAGTCGATCTCACGTGACAAATGCAAAACGTATTACAATTTTTTTCAATTTTAACTGGTGGATCACAGCTTGTCGATCTTATAATAGCATTACTAATTTTGGAATTACTGTTTTACGTTTACGACCCGATATGGACAAACTTTATCGGTACACATTCATTATTTTAATACGTAATCCACTTTACAAAATTTAAGCGAGGCACGGGTTTAATACTTAGATTGACTTGCGAAATACTGTTACTATTATTAAAATTCTGCTTTAAAACAAAATCGGTTGCTTTTTCGTAAACGGTTTGTTTCGGTTGACAATGCTATATCTAGCATTTTCTAAGATCTCTCAGACATACTGAACATAAAGTTTGTTTAATTAATATTAATTGTGTGATTGACATTTTAACGTTAACAATTGATCTCGATGACACAGATACGTTATGAATTCATGCCAAATTATGCTTTCAAGATTGTGTCCTATCTACTTTATAAACTCCATCGTTGGAGGATGTGTTGTAAAGTGTTGGGTTGTAATGACCTACTTGTTAGTAATTATGTTGCACACAAAGCTTTAAAATAAAACGTTTATATTAAAAATGTTGCGTTGGCTCAATTTTTGTCATATTATTTGCCGGTCAATAATATTGTTTTAATGTAATATACCAGTTGAGCGTCAATGTTTATCAAGCTCCTGTTTACAACGAAGGCCAGAAAACGAATCTTGCAGGGTATGTTTGGAGTAAACAAATTCAATAACTATGCAAAAGTCAAAATGGCCAGGACAAAGAAATTCGGACAATGTTCAACATAAGGTTATAGCATTGGCCTTTCTGCCTTCTTTGCTCGAGAGACACATAAGCTGTTGGGGTAAAATTATCAGTTGTCTCGATCGAGAATATGCATGCGGGAAGTTAATGATGTCTCAGCTAAGACGAAAATACAACTTAACCAGTTTAACACTACTCAATACGAAAGTGTTCTCTATGAAGAGTTGAACTATGTTCTCTGAGTCAAGGTGAGCAAATAAAGCAATTCTACGTTGTTGGTACATCTTTTTGCTGACGAAATATACAAAACTGGCTTCAATGTTCTCCGCAAGAGGGGACATATGAAGCGTGATTATTGAAAATCGAAATCAGGCTCATAGTGAGCATGTTTTCTTAACGGAATACAAGTTCCCTGTCTAAAAAGCAAAAAGATCCCTCTATCCCATGGCATTCCCTTAAATACGTAAGATGAAGTGTGAAGGGAAAAAGGGAATGACGTTGAGAATAAAAATACAAACTTTGTATTGAACATCGCAAAACAAGTAGCCGATAACGTTCAGAGGGGTATATAGAGTCATTCTATCAATGTTTGATTCTTTTCCTATTCAACCTGTAGTTGGTATTCTAAATAAGGCAAAAGATGAACATCAATTAAAGAAAACAGAAATTTCCAATATTCATCCTAACTCCACTCACTCACCACTAATCATTACCATATTATCTTCTTCTTCTTCTTCTTCTTCTTTGCTACTCTCATGTTCTTGCACAGTCCTTCGCTTGTAATCGTCCCATAGTTCAACTGCTATCACGTTTCGATATGTTTTAGCGGAACTACGTTGAAGAGCTATATTTATAATCTCAGTCTCTTTGTAGCCCTCTGCCAACGCCTTTGCGAATAAACAGACAAGAACCCCACAAGAACTACCATCTGTCTGTTTTGAATGCGGAGTTTGAGTATTATCAAACTTGACGTTCACCGGCCACTTTTCTATCTCGGTCTCAATTTTGTAATCATCGAGTTTGCGTTGTTCACGGTCTTCCATATATCTCGCATACTCATCAATGAGATATCTCTTCAAAACATCTCCGATTTCCCTTTGATAATCTTCCCCTCCCATGGAATCCCATATCTCAATCTGTTCACGTCGTTCAGCTTTGATCCATATGACAACCAGAAGCCAGTGATTCTCAGTCACGTTGACTGGAACAAACACAATTGACTTGTTGAATATACATGTCTTCTTTGTCCATCTTTGCACAGACGCATAGTCATATTTGGTCGATAGCTTAGCATACAAGTACGTGGGAAAGGCGTGGATATGTTTGTGATTACTCATAAGTAAAGAAAGATATGCGTTAATATGATCTGAAGACAGCCAAGTGTCAGACGTAAGCAAGTCACTCCATTGTTCGGGGCTTAAAGACTCTCCTTTAACTATTATGGAATCTTCGCCATAACGCACATACTCCGCCACCTCTTTACGAGTCGAACTATCGTATTTTAACAAATTGTTTGTACTGTCCTTGATAGATTTACGAATCGATCTATCGTTTTTTGGCGATGACTCTATGCGACGTTTGCTGCTTCTACCGTACGTGTACTCTATTACCATACAAAGGAGGAAAATCAAAGTCAACGTTCTTTTTCACTTTCACTTTCACGTACGACAAGGTCACACCTCCTTCCTTTAATTGAAATATGCTTCGTCGCCACTTGCTTCGTAAGCTTGTCGACTTACTTAGGTAGTCGTCACGCGCGTATTATAAAATGAAAAAGAAAAGGCATGGATAACAGGCAATATTTCAATGTAACCAGATTCACTGCAATAGTTTAATTAATTGCTTAAAATACAAACTAAATTGAAAAACCTTGGAGCCTTCTTCACAGGTGTACTAGAGTATAGTTCGCTGTCATTAATTTCATCAGCAGACAGATCCACGATATCGCTCATACGGCTTCTCTCGTTTGCTTTCACGTCCTCGACTTGCATTTTGTAAGAATTTGTTGGCTATTGTGTGCGGCGTGAGCGACTATTTATCTGTCCGACCAATCACTTCAAATAATTAATTTCATGCAGGTTTGTGCTCTAACTCCATACAATTCAATTGTATCTCTCATTCACGCAAAACTTTATCACAATGACTGGTACCGTTCGTCTCTTGCTTCTCAAGATCTTCTGGTATCAAGACAAATTTGTTCATGCTAATTACGTCATTATTGTTGATCTCGTGCAGAAAAAATAGTCGTTCGCTGTCATACCGAATACAAAGGGACAAACGAAGATGAACTTTCACTTATTGTTGGCGAAATTGTGAAAGTTGAGGAGAAAATAGATGCTGACTGGTATTATGCTGTCAAAGATACTGGCGAAGGGGGAATTTTCCCTTCAAATGTATGATCAGAAATGATTATGGTCGAGTGGGAGTGGTGCGATTCGAATTTCTCATACTTTATACATTTACCCTTAGTTTGTCGAGGAAATCGAGTCTTCAGAACCAATTGCCGAAGAAGCTGATACTGATGAATTACCAAAGGAAATCAAAGAGCCCGATGGTATGCAAACTTATTATTTGTAAACAATCTTTCGTCAGTCAATATCGATGTTAAATTTTACGGCGTACCAGTTCCCAGGCTCGCCGTCGTGGAATATGATTATGTGGCTCGCGAACGCGGTGAACTATCACTTCAGAAAGGTGGTGTTGTCACTGTTCTAGAACAGAACCAAGGATGGTGGAAGGGTGACTTAAATGGCAATATTGGAACATTTCCAGCAAACGTATGTAAGAATGTTAGAATCGTGCATCTGTTTTTAACGCGGGAAAAAGCAACTCTAATATCATTTTTCTACACAAATAAAGCACGTTAAGCTTATTGAGGTTCCGAGTAATGTCGATTCCTCAGAGGAACCTGAGAAACAATGTAACTTGATTGTCATTTAAACTATAAACCATGTTATTTGTCACATGCTTATATTGAATATTCACTCTTTACAGCTAAGAAGAAAAATCTTGCTGCATATGGTGTTAAACTGGGAGGTCTTGGTGGTTTATTCGCTGGAGGTGTACCATCTCTGAAGAAGACGCGTAATACACCAATCGAAGAGTCAAAGGATCAGCACAAAAAGGAAGAAAGTCAAGGACACGAGTTTCCATTAAGAAAGTCTACCGGTCACCAGTCCGAATCAGCAGAACCTGTTGCTTCCAATAAAGAGAAAAGACTGGCGTCTCCACCTGTGGTAAATTTCGCGCTGCTGAATCCCAAGTCTTGTATTAATTTCACAATATAGTGACAGTAATATTACGAACACAGCAAATGTAAATATATCTGACTTACTGTAATTGTCATATAACGTAGCTTCCAGGGGCTCAAGTGCGTCGCAATAGCTCAGAGAAGACGGTGGCAAAACCTCCTCCATTGCCATTCAAGAGTCGGAAGTCGGGAAAACCTCAATGTGAATATTTTTATTAGTTTTCATCAATTCTGGTTTACATATCTATTCATATTGGCTTGCGTCTCTACTACAGTGCCAAGGGCTTTGGTTACCTTTGACTATGAGGCTGACGGAGATGGTATGAAAAGTTCCTTCTCAATACTCGCAATCATACCAAACGTAATCAGCTACCACTTACAATTGCCCTGAATATTGAATTAAAGATGAGATTTCACTGGCGAAGGGAAGTTATGTAACCATTCTGGACAAATCCGACGAAGGGTGGTGGAAAGGACGTAATGAACAAGGGGAAATGGGGCTGTTTCCTTCTCCTTATGTGGAAGAAGTGGCTGCTGTGGAGGAAAATAAAGCGACGAAAACCGACAACGAAAGTTTGCAAACAAAAATTGCTGAAGAAACGCAGTTATCGGATAAGAATGTTGAGGATGAGGATCGAAAAGATACAGAGGCCATGACCGATGAGCCTGTTTCACAACCCGAGGAGCAAGCCACGGAACTTGTTAAAAAACCGTCAACGAAATCTGTCACACGTTCCAAGACGCTAGGTGCTTCCGCCACTCAGCGGCCATCAAGCCCCAAAAGCGCAAGACCGGCTTCTGTTCATAGCTCACAGTCAACACCACACAGCCGACAAACATCAAGTTCGACAGATTCTCCTACAGAAAATATACCACCTGTCCCAACCAGACGTTCGACCCACGAGAGCTTACCGAAACAGTCCAAAGAGACAACAACGAAAAGGCGCTCTACCTATGATTTACCACCATCCCCCTCTCCAAAATCCCCTAACCAAGACTCGCCTCCAATCAAAAGTCCAGTGAGATCTCCACCTTTACCCAGTCGCCAGGTGCCAAAGCCAATACCGCCATCAGAAGCCAATGATGTTACCGAGAGTGCAACTTCTCCACGTGCTGAGCATCCCGTTGCACCGCCGAGGCCAAAATTTACTAGACCTAGCTCTCATATCGAAACCAAGGCTGGGACGCCCAGGCCTATATCTTTAGCAAAGCCACCCTCAATCCCTCAAATTCCCAAGTCTCCGCAAGCTGGTAAAAGTCCATCACCTGGAAATAGTAAGCGAGCCCCAGACGAACCGAAGAAAGTTATTTCTCCGCCTGTGCCGATGGCCTTACCCTCTCGACCACAAAGACGCCCTTCTGAAAAGTCCGAGACTATTTCTATTGAAGAGGAAGAGGAGAGAACGGAAGAAGAGGAAAAAGTAGAAAAAGAAGAAGAAATGGAGTCGGAGGAAGAGGAGGAAAAAGTAGAAAAAGAAGAAGATGTGGAAGAGGAAGAAGATGTAAAAGGGGATGAGGTGGAAGAGAAAGAAGAGGATGAGAAGGAGGAAGTGGAAGAAGAGGTGGAAATCGTCAAGGAACCTGTGCACGCTGAACTTGCAAAAGAAGAACGTGCGGGAGAAGAGTTAGAGGATGATGGCACAACTGTTGAAGAGACGAAGGCAGTGGAAAAAGAAGAAACTGAGATTGATACCGTCGTCGAAGATGAAACCGCAGCGAAAGACGATAAAGTTGAGGAACAAGAAGAAGAAGAAGAAGAAAAACCAAATTTGAAAGATGAGGAACAAGATAAGGAACACAGTAAGCAAGACACGGAAACTGTGGCCAAGCCACCCGAACTGCCGCCATTGCCTTCAGGACCAAAACTAAGCGGATTAGGAAAGGATAGGCCAGCATTAAGAAGAAAGGCTCAGAGTTCCAAGTCAATAAAGACTAATGCCGCCGTGACCCAAACTGCTACTTTAGAGGAGGCAATATCATCCGTAAGTAACCAATTTGTTATTCGATCGGCTTCAAACTTCTTTAGCAACGATAATGATTAATTTTTATTGCTTACGCGCAGACTAAAAATGACACGACGGCTTCCAAAGCGGCGCCTATCGCCCGTGAAGCGCCGCCACTCGCCGCCAAACCAGAAAAACCGCCAAAGCCGAGTTTCGTGAAATTACCATACGCGAGCCCTGGAGCGGGTTCCGTTCAGTTGCGTTCAGTTACCAAGAAACCGGCACCTGCAGTTGGGACAAGTGAGAGTACAGACGAGGGTGTGAATACTAAACCGATTGGTGGAGTGAAATCGATTTCTAGTCGATTTAATCAGTTCAGCGGCGTTCCCAATCAGTCGGAAGTTGAATTTCGACTGAAAAAGTTGATCAACGAAGAAATTAACAAGTTAAAGGCAGATTATGAAAACAAGTTGGCGGTAGAGAGGAGTATGAGAGAGAATCTTGAGGAAGAAGTCAACATGCTTAGAGAGCGCTTGGATGCAGCTGGGATATGAGGGCGAAGGAATGGGTGGGGGTTTATCAATCACGTGTAAGGAGACGCTTAATTAATTTATATTTAAACTTATTATTATTTATGTCCGTTATTTACATATAATACATTAAAAGATTGCATCAAGTTTTTTCATTCAAGTTTGCATACAAAACAACTTGTTTACGGGAATCGTGTCGCAGAATGGATGAGGATGCAGTGCAATATTACATATACAAGCTTTAGTTCTTACAACATGCGGATATCTAATTGGCCAAAAAGCAAAAGCCATGTTATTAAAATTTCCCTGACGTCTATTGACGTGTTTTGCAAACAATATTCATCATGCCTAAATCGGTACATAAAGCATTCCCAAATTCAGGACTTTTAGTTACCGATGCATAGTAATATGTAAATACGAGTCATTTCGTCGTCGATTCCATAGCTATTATGAACTGTATATCTCGTAAGCCAAATCTTCAATACGTCATAGCCTCTCGTACGCCCATATAATAAGAGTCTATAAATGGGGCATGCTGCAACAAAACCAGACAAAGTGAGCATTTTATAAATGAGAGGCTGATTATGATGTGACTGTAAAATTGATCAGGGTGACTGATGACGTTTTGAAAAGTAATAATGGTGCTACTCAAATGTAACCCTGACTTGACTTTCGAATCTATCGACTGTCTTGGACATCCAACAATTGAAATATTCCTCAAGATCGGTATCATTATCGAAGACTATTCCAGCGAAAAAATGTATTTTGCTGCCCCTATTATGCAGATTGCCCTGAGTAACCAGCTGTTTACTGCCAGCCTACCAAATTCACCCACACAGATGTTTGATGAATTCTTGTTGTGGACAATTGAGCAAATTTCTCCATCTGTCTTGAAAAACTCTTTTGGACTGGGGTATGATTCCTACTTGCTTGAGTGAACTTGGCAGATGGAATGGTATCGTACTGCAAAGAGTGTAATACCAAAAGATACAACAATTAGCCCTGATGTCAGGCATATTTTTGGTTCAAATGGGTTCCTTGACTTCTACGTTGATGGTAAATATGGCTGGGGGATTGAATTGCTGTGCAAGGGCAGAAGGTTGGGGGATCATGCAAAGCAATTTGATCAGGATGGTGAATATAAAACCATTCCAATGAATGAATGGGTTGTTATTGACTTTCGTCATCACTCCAAATGTGTTTGAAGTGTAAATCCTAACTTCTGGCATGTACTCTGCTCGGATGATTACAAGCAAGTTACGATCTTGCATCATGACAAGGAAGACCGTGTTCTTCGCCTAATAGGGGATGATTTTAAGTGAGCTTTAGTTTAACCCAGAGTCTAATTATGATGGGCAGGTATTTGCATGTGAAGATAGAGAAAGACACTTTGAAAGTAACTGCATCTGAGATTATGAAAAAGAACTATCAGCAGATTCTACTAAACAAAATACAGTAAATTATGCATGTTAAAAGATTTTTCTGTCGTAATTAACATCATATTTGGTTTAGACGTTGTCTGCAGTTGATATTTGTGAAACCATTGCTACAATTAATGATCACTATGAATGTACCAATAAAATTGCAAAATGATAAAATTTATATATATAGGATTACCCGTATATGGAAAATTACAATTATAATGGTTCGACTGAATATGAAAAAGCCATGCGCTTCTTAGAGATAGGTTGCAATTGTGGTTGTTCTCAAAAGATTCCGAGAGAAAAGTTTGCCGAATTACGTGAAGCATTTCAAGCTCTCTCCAGATCCGAGCAAGATATATTTTTAATGGCCCAGTTGAAAGCAATGAATGGTGGAGAAATAACTACCAGCCGCCGTCTTAAAAAGAAAACGCGTGCTAATAAGAGAACTTTTTATTATTGAGATCGCAATACGCCACTTTGTCAGAAAACGTATCTTAATATGTTAGGAATTGCCGCACGCACTTCGAAAACGTCAGAAATCATCTGGCAACGAATGGTATAATACCACGTATTCATGGTAACATAAAACGAGTGCCGCGATGGAAAACCAAAATAACCATTGATATAACTGTTGCTACCGCTGTGAGGAATTTTCTCGAAAACTATGCGGAAATTCATGGACTACCAAGTCCTGGTAGAAATGTCAATCGCATTACTCAATCGCTTACGCTTTTGCCAGCTGAAACAAGTTACAAGTCAGTCTATCGTAATTTTATTGCAGGTCTTGAAAACGATAGCACATTGAAATTATTAAAATATGACGCATACCGCAAGTTGTGGCATCAATTAACGCCTTATATTCAAATCATGAGTCCAAGAACGGATTTATGTGACGCGTGCCAACATTTTCGGAACGGCTTACAATACAATGCTCGCAAGGAAGAAGAAGCGAAAGATTTATTGAAAAAATTCAAAGAACATCTAGTTAAAGCTAAGTTAGAGAGAAATTATTACAACAAAATACGAAATTAGCAGAAGAACAAAGAAAATTAGTCGATGAGCAGTTTATAATAAGAGGTAAAGCTGATTATTGTAGCGTTGGCGCGACTGCTCATTACAGCTATGATTGAGCGCAAAACGTTCATGTTCCCTATTCCGATCAACAGGTAAGTAAGATTTATTATCTCAGTCCGCGTAAAGTGTATTTATTTGGTATCCAAAATGAAGCAGTCCACGAACAAATTAATTACGTTCTTGATGAAGATAAAATTATCGGCAAAGGCCCTAATGGCACGCTGAGCCCGGTATTCGATGGGATTAAGCAATTAAATAAAGGTGAAACATGTCTTGTGACAATGCAGGTGGTCAGAATAAAAATAATGCTACCATTTGATTTTACCTATATTTAATAATTTGCGGCTATTATGAAAGTATAGAATTAAATTTTATGGTACCTGGACATACTAAATTCAGTTGTGATGGTAGTTTTGGATTGGTCAAGAAGCTATACCGCAAAACAACCGTAGATTGCGTGGATCATATTTTTGAAGTTGTGAAAAAATCGAGTACAGCGGGATTAAACAAAGCTCAGTGCTATGAAAACGGCAAAGGCTTTCAATACTTGGATCTTAATTCCGTGCTGGGGATTTTCTTTAAGAAATTGAGTGGTTTACAAAAATATCAGCATTTTATTTTTGAAGCAGCTAATCCTGGAATTGTCAAAGCCCAGCTGGTTGCTAATGGTGCTTATACAGAATTCAATTTATTAAAAACTAAAAAAGCAAGTGTTGTTGAAATTACCAAAGAAATTAAATCTGTTTAATCTTCTATAATAAGCCTCAGGATCTCTATTTTTTCAGCCATGCGTTCATCTTCCATAGTGCCTCGAAATTGATTGCTTCTTATAGGTCTGTAGTGTCTTCAAAATTTTTTCATAGCAAACCTAGGAAAAATAATATTAAAAATTCAGATGGAGGATAAGTTTCACTATAACTTGAAGGAAGTTCTCAAAATTTTTGTGGCTTCTTCTTTAAGTTCACGTTTGATAGTAAACCCATTTTTTGTACAAGTTCTTGACAAATTCTCCAATTTGGTCTCAGGTCTCTTGATCTATGGCATTGATATGGTAAATGATTTTTAGTAGAAATGGTTACCGTATTTTCTCGTGAATAAGCACCATATGAAAATGATCGGCAACCATCACGTAGATAATAAACTTTAGGAGGTTATCTAAAAGTAATCGCGCTGCCGTGTTGAGATGGTAGTCAAGTCCTTCGAAAAATGCGGCATCTCAAATGCTTTAGATGGCTCAGAAGATGGTTTGATCATAGAGGAAGGTGATGGAGAAGAGAAGGATGAAGGGCATCTTATAATAACATTAGAGGATATCAATGGAACAAAGAGAACGAAGACTTTTAATAAAATTTTATAATCAGGTGCTATTATGTAATAAACTGTTTGTGGGGGGAGGGTTATGTTGCTAATAGTGGTAATCAGGGGGTGCCTATTCACGATAGGTGCGGTGCTTATTATTATTCACGAGAGGATACGGTATATTTCCTAATTCAATGTGTGATCTAGCTCTTTTCTGCAATGATATTGTTGTTATTGGTTACTTGGAAACGCGTAACATTCACCGAAAATGAGAGAAGCCTTGGGAAGGAGAAAACCATCGACATATGATTTGTTCTTTCGTGCTGTATTTGTGACGCATGCACGTAACTGGACTATCCGTGAATTAGCCCACATATGCGTTCTTGAATCAAGTTCAGATAACTTTGAAGCAAAGGTCAGATATATATATATACGTGCGTACCCGCTGCATAGCCCCGACTTGCACTCATTAAATTACTTTTCTTGTAAAGACATTAGTATCTGTACAGCGATTTGTTAGCAGACTAACTGAGGCTGGCCTGATACAAGTCGAGAACATGCGAACCGACCACCAAGGTCGTGAAGTCACTCTACTCTGCACTTCAAGAAACTATGCCGAGATTAATCACAATTGCTTGAAAGATTCAACGATTAGTTCTACAGTGCCCGAAAAAAAGACTAACCAACATCGAGCGTCGACGGTAAGGTTCTTGGTACTGTCAAGTCCCCCATTCTAGACTGTCTTCCAATACTCAGTTGTTGTTTAAATAGGATTGCAATTCAAGCAAACGTCTCAAGAGACCAAATCGCGAATTGTCGTCTATAATTTCTGATACACAACTTTATCCTGCGCCATATCGAAAACTCCACCATTCTGGTTCTTCAGCTGCGCGTCGATTAACGAGCCCTCGATCGAACGCATCAAAAGCTGCACAAAAGCCTGCAAGGTTCACAGAATTCATTGCAAGATACCCAGAGCTGACCGATTTACTCAAGGGCAAGAATAGCCTCGAAACGGAGGTTGCTAAAATCGAAGACAGTGTCAGACGAGCAAAGATGGCGCTTAAATACCATAAACAGGTATTTGGTATATATCCATAAATCTAACCATGAAATATAAATTTTAACAATACAGCGTTCACCAGGACGAAGACAGTGTTATTCAAGCACTCATTATTAAATGGCGAAAAGCAAGCCAGGAAGCTGCAGAATTCTGTTTTAATAACATGAAGCATGGCATGTCGGTTCTAGAACGATCGGGCCGTACATCATGGTTTGCAGAAGGTCATTATAACTGGGACGAGAAAAACTCACCACCAGCTTACTCGGATGAAGATGATACGGACGAGTCGGTTAAACACGAAAACTTTGCAGATGACATATCAATGAAATCAATGCTATCTCGGATGGGGATTGACATTGCACTTATCAAGTGGAATGATGAAGATGAGTGCTTCGAAGACTGAACGCGTTGGAGTTGATATTAACCTTTGCGAATGCGCAAGTGGTTCAATGATGGCCGGGGATTATTGCCGGTAAATCAGGGATAAAGCCACTAATCGTAAATACGTTAATGACATATGACGGGCTAACGTCCACAATTAAGAAGAACTCGATGCTAACATCGCGTATTACTCTTATCAGCGTATCACATACCTCCCTTTTTCTCGGTTGTATTCTAAGACTAGTGCCCTCATGGGAATTCTTTTACGGCCATAGTTGAATCTGATACTAATTGGCGTATTTGTAATTGTACGTGTAGGTAATATTAATGTGAAGGAAGGGAAACATTTAAACCTTCAGATTAATCAGACATTTTTTTAATTTTGTGTGGCATGCTGCGACAATAACACATATAAATCACAAGAAGTAAAACTGCTGAATGTCACAGATAGTCGCTATCGTCTTATACTCTCGTCTTTTCCATTAAGCAAAGTACGATTCACTTGGTGTGCCAAAAAATAGCCAAAATGGTTTTGGGGTCTGAGGACTTTTCCTCTGACGCACCTCCAGCGTCATCTATTAATAAACAAACTATTATTACGTTAGCAAAGACCCATACATAGACTACAAACTCACTGTTTACCAATGTAGCGTTCAGCAGTTTATCATGCACTACCACGTCCCAATTATGGGATCAAGAGAGTGAATGTGTGGATTTCCATTTATGCCAAAAATATCCAATACCTCATTTTGTTTCTCTCAGATATTCCCTTGTTACTGTATCCCAAAAGTATCAACACAGCGCCACTTTTGAAACTTGTGATTACCATATCAAACCTTATCAGAAGATTAGTAAAGTTGGAGAGCATCCGTCATCACTCTTGTTTTTTCGTTACCATTTTGGGGAAATCCGAACTCTTAATGACAAGTTTAAATGAGCAGTCTCGCGATTGCCAAACAATTTGGGACGTTGATCTCGTGAACCAGAATTAGGGATGGACTTGTTACAATCAGAACAGATATGGTAAATCCTTTAGCCACTATGAACACGTGCCACGGTTAGCAAGACAGTTGACATATACTGTGGGAGTGTTCCATCCGAGCCTGCATAACCAGGCACTGCCCTGTTGACGTTTGGGGGGGTTTATTCATGCATCCAAACGAACGTATGTGCGGAGTATGTGCATGATTGGGGTATTCGGAATAGTCATCACCGAGTCGGAGGATGTAGTCAAAGAAAAGGCTTTTGATGGGCAAAAAAAAAAAAGAAAAAAAAAAAGAAAAAGGAAATAGGGTTTGTAAAGTGAAATAACATTGTTCATTATCCTGAAGTTATATTAATATATGTCGTGTAACCGAGAATATTAAATCACACGCAGTTATCGTTGGTGGGATGCTATTTGACAAGTCGTGTTTAGAGATTGTGGGAAATGTTGTGGTATTCGGTGGGATGCGGAAAAAAAAAAGTTTTGTTCTTGCTGCAAATGGATAAGATTGCAGCACTTTGATTATCGTGAGCAACTCGCACCATCAATTGCGGATTGATTGGATGGATTTAGAGCTCAGCCAATATTATCTTTTTAATCAGCATCCAAGCACATGAAAAAAGCTCCAATCTGTACAACCAAATACGAGATGATAATGTATAATGTACAGTAAACAATGTTTAATAGAACATAATATACATGATATAATATATATAATACAATACCAATACAATATGCAGGTATATGTGTATGTGTATGTGTATATGGTGTATATTGCGTATATTGCGTATATGCGTATATCGATATGTGTATACGTTTTATCTGGGATTACCAGTATATTGTTTCTATGTGTCCGTTTATTTATCTATCCATTACTTGGTACATCCGCTTTTGTTTCAAGTGTAATCAATGCATGTATGCGCTAAAAAAAAAAGATATTGTCAATTCCCTATATGGAAAAAGTAGAGATTTCAAATTATTACAGATTCCCCTGCGATCGTCAAGATAAAAACCCTCTCTTCACGCTAGCCCATTACTTTCCTACCAAAAAAAAATTTTTTCCGGTTTATTTTATTTTCACACGCCCTCACTTCTTCTCATCCAAAAATCTACAAAGCACATCACATTATGGAAAGTGCCTCTTATGACTTCATGGCAACGCAAAACACGTCCTTAACCTCCCCTTCCCCTCAACCTCAAAAGAACATCTATCCTCATCAACCTCAGATATACGGCGACCAATCATTAGACCAGAGATACAATTACATCGGTAGCAGCAATCTAGACACTCTTTTAAATGCTATTGAAGTTGCTCCAATCAACGTTAAAGCATCCCCGTCTTTCTCGAGGGGTCAAACTCTTCCTGAACAGCATCAACAACATCAGCCACAAGAACAACACTATTATCAACATCATCAAATCCAACAACCGCAACAACAACAACAGCAACAACAACAGCAACAACAGCAGCAGCAGCAACAACAACAACAACAACAGCAGCAGCAGCAGCATCAACATCATCAACATCATCATCCCCAACAACATCTTTCTCACCTTCCCCAACAAAAACAACAAGGGCAAAGTCATCAGCAATATATTATTAAGCATCATCATCCTCATCATCCGCATCAACACCATCATCATCATGTGCAAAACAACAACCAAGACATTAACAGACAACAACAACAACAACAGCAACAGCAGCAGCAGCAGCAGCAGCAACAACAACAACAGCTTAGCACTCACACGCATCGTCTTCTTCCTCCTCCAGTCGCCAAAACAGCAGCAAGAACTGGTGCTGCCAACAGCACCATGCCTTCATCATCAACTACACCTATGACAATTTCTTCTCTGCTAGATGCAGATCAGCAATCAAAATGCTCCCCTCCCATCACTCCTACCGAGATTACATCTCCGACGATATCATATTCACGAGCTAGATCTCCGTCCTTACAAATGCCTCTTGCACCATATCTTCCATCTACGACAATGACTTATCCAAACTCCACAGATTCAATCCCGTTTCCGCGATTACAGCATTCGAGTCTTCCATCTCCGCCTAACAGCGGTTTGTACTTGCCATTGCCCAACCTCAACCAAGCTATTAGCAACGGTGATCATGCTAGGACGTCGCCTCCCCCTCCTCTAATAACATCCAAGAGGAAATGGGAAGCAACCGATGCCTCAATAAATCCCTATGTCGACGAGCTACGTAGCACGAAAATACGGCGATCTGCCGAAGATTATAACGGGATGCATGGCTCAGCATCGAAATCACCCGATTCGGGCTCTGCTCATCATCAGGATCATGATAGGGACAGACTGTACCCACCACCGCTTTCATCACAGCATTTAAAACCCATACACAAACTGCAATCGCACTCGCTTATACCACCACCACCACACAGTCAATATCAGACGACAACAATCACTTGCTATCATGCTGCGGTTGCACAAAAATCATATGGCAGCGAGAAGAGATTTTTATGTCCACCGCCAGTGGTCATTATCGAGTCGTCAAATAAACATTTACACAGCAAATCAGATGTGTCGATGTCTGTTACTTGCGAGACTAACGATCGTCCTATGGAACATAAAGCTTTACTTGACGAGAATATGAAAGGAACGTTCAAGTATCTACATGTCAGCGGAACGGATAAGGCTAAGCAATTCACTCTAAAATTAAGAATGTATCACAAGAATGCCGATCTTCCATATATCGTATGTGATTCAAATCCCATCACAATTATCTCCAAACCATCTAAGAAGACTGCAAAAGCCAGAAATGTTTCTTCATGCATCTTATCTGGATCACCAATCTCGCTCTTCAACCGCATCAACTCTCAAACAGTTCGAACCAAATACATGGGAGTCGAAGTTGGGCAATTGTGTGCCAAGAATTCTTCATGGTCCTCTTTTGTTATCACGTTGGTCAATAAAAATAACAACGGTAGCGAGAGTAGCAGCGATGCCAATTATAACAAAGGCAATAGCGATACCGATAGCGATTTCCTTACTCAACGGGCCAGGATCAAGAGTCAGAGTTCAAACGTGGCATCATTTGGTGCTTCCATTAATGCTACTCCCATAACTTACGGATCAGAGATTATTTTGTCAGAGCCGGTAACGGGGATTACCTCTGATCGATTGATCATTCGTAAAGTAGAAAGAGGACAGGTAATAAGATGTGCACGCGGTCCAGTGAGTCAGATGCAAAAGGTGGCATTACAACGAGTGAATACCGATGGAAGTGAAGGGCCTTATCTAAGTGCGGCTGGTCAATTCATGGTCGATAATCTGCAAGACCAATTGCAATGTCAACTCGGAGGGGGTTGTCCGTTCCTAGGATATCAGTCATCGAGGATGGTACATTTACAGAATAGCGAGTTTAGTCATCCAGCGACGACGACGACGACGACGACAACGACGACAACGACGCTGGATGATACGAAAGAATCATTGTTTAGAACAACCTCGATCAAACACGTTTCAAAAAAGAGTATTGCCACTCCTGCTAGTATTGAAGAAGTTGATGATTATCTTTGCTGGACAATTGTAGGGATTTGTAAGTAAAGATTTGTGATTTATTTGTTGTTTGCGATTATTTATTACAGCGTTCTAATGCATACATGTCTTTACAGCTAGATTCCATTACAAGTTCTACGAGCCATACCCACATACCCCTCTGCCCGCCTCACCCTCGTGATGTTGGCTGTCAATAGAAAATTGATAGTAAAATATCATCTGTATATGCTATGTATAATCAATATTTATCGTATATACATAAATAAGCAAACAATACTGTATATATAATCTAACAATAAAAGTTTTTATACTGCTTAGTCACATGCGACTATTGACATAAAACGTCTTTATTAAGTATAGGGGGAAAAAGGAAATGACGCCATCGTTACTAAACTAACGAAGCATAAAAAAAAAAAGATTGTAGAGATATCATATCGTATCGGATCGTATCGACAATGTTCCAGTTTTACCGCATCAAATTTCCGTTTAAGGCTATATTGTAATAATCGTGTACACACTCGACATCACGTTTGTGTTGCCCTACTGAAAAGGCTTATCTTCGAAGCAAAGTAACACTGAAAAACGCAGTCGTACAATTAAAAGATCAGCGCATTTATTCACCAATTGAGTGTACTAAAAAAATTTTTCGTGGGAAAAGCCATTTGCCTGGTTCTTCCAAGGCTCCTTTCTTCTTTTTTTTCCATTCATACATTGCTGATCAACAGTTTCACAGCCCTGTTATCGCTTAGCCGATCACGCAACAATACAATCTGACAAGAAGTTTAAAAAATTTCTATCCTTTTCACATAATAGTCTTTTGATAAACAGATAAGATCTTGTTAAAATGAAATCTTTTTTAGGGTGTACAAACGATAGCTGTGCGCATTTAATGCGCATTTATTCATTGTGATTGTCATACCCCAATCATTGGGTTCTGTACATTAGGTTCGTATCGTTATATCCACATAGCATCGTGAGAAAATGAACATGGCGTGTCACGAGGGGCAGGTAAAGGTGAGAGAGAAATGAATGTCGTTTAGCTGATTTGCCCTTGCTATTGGGTTTCTTTTGACAGATGACAAGATTAACGGGGGGGGAGTGGCGTACATTTCCGTCAGAACGAGTGATATCTATTAATTCTCACCAAGCACATGATGCATAAAACAGGTCGTCATGTGCGACATCAGATGTGTTCGATATTCTTGTTTTCTTGATAGGGGGTTTCAAAGTTTTAATAAGCCACACTAACGCACCGAACACACACCGAACACACACCGAGCACCAACCTCCATAATCATTCTTTATTTCCACACTTATGGTCTACTTTTGTTTCTCACTAAAAAAAGGGGCGGTTGTAATCACACGAAAATTGCAAAATCATATGACTTTGTTTGTCACTTATCAGCGTTACATTCTACTATAATGGTCAAGCATCAAGGCAATTATGTCTTCGCATCCAATGACTTCGATTGATATGTATTATCATTAATCCCACGAACCAAACACTTGTTATCCAGTAGCATATTGTTTTTCTTACTAGCCCCCGATGATTATAGGTTATTCCATTATTATCATAATATTATTTTACGTGTCATATGAGACTGATATTGCGTAGCCTTTTAAGGGAATTCTGTCTGAATGAACAACCAATTGCAACTATGGCTGAGGGAGAACAGTGGAATGTTTGATCGTAAAGATGTACCCGCAATATACATGTCGATTATCTACCTGTCGTTTTAATGGATAGACTTGTCTCTATGAACTATATGAATGCTACCTGACAAAAAAGTCTCGGGGGAAACGCGGGAAAATAATTGACAACGTGCTATTTGAATTCAGCAACAATGATGGTCATCTGCAAAAGTGTGTGAAAATGTTTATATCCGGAAAAACCCGTATTTTTACAAAGCACCAATAAAATTCGTCAAAAGACTATTATTATCACCGCAAGTTTATACGTTACGCACACAACGATACTTCCATCGTACAAATAAACGAGTTTAAACCAAATATGTCTTTTTTTGCACGATATAATTCCAAGTTAGAGTCCTATGAACAATTTGAGCAATTGCGACTGTGGTTTTAGTTGTTGAAAAGACGTCATCCTTTTTGCTGGATTTCCATCTCAGAATTCAGAATACCATCGCTATCATCCCGACTGCAGCCAATATGGTCATAAAGATTGGATTGAATATTTTTCTGATCTTCCCCCCTCTAATTTAGTAGAGCTTTTCAGCTAGCATCTTATGAAAAAATACATTACCCTCTTCCATTTTCTTCATTCATTGACCTGATCATAGCAAATGTGCTGACGATAATGGCTTCATTTGCAACGTAATCAATCACCACGTCACATCAAAAATTACGACAATTTTTCGCGACACTTCAAATTATTCCCTTGATCGCCTCAGCATTTAACGCTATGGTTTTAATCGTAGTTTTAGATCAGGTGCCTGATAAGATGCAATCGGAAATGCTCAAATTAGAGTGTCCCCATGCGACATGGAACAAAAAAGATTGAGTGTCACATCGAGTCTCTGCATAAAATGGGAAGGGTGCTAGGCACAAGAAAGCCCAGTTGTTTATCAGAGGTGACATGCAAATGCTCCCCAAAAAAACAAGCAACAAATTAATGAGATCTTCGAGATTCTTTACTATTCAAGGCTCCAAACTGGTGTGGAGCCCAAGTGATCTTCAAAAGTTCGGGACTTTGACACTAGCGCCGTTGGGGCTCAGGTGATCTTCAAGATCGTCTGATGTTCAAGGCTTAGAAATCGACCTGGCGGAATTGAAATCGGATCGGAATCGAAGCGTGGATCGCTCAGTTCATCTTCACCAAACTATATCTCACGGAATCGAGTTAATAATTTAGTTTTAGATTGTCTAAAAAAGTAGGTAAAGTAAGACGATCCAGTCATGTATTTTATTTTTTGTACTATTGCCTTAATCGATACACTTTTATTTACCTTAAGCTCTGTGAATAAGACTTATCTTTGCCATACAGAGTGTTTCTTGTTCACGGAACATCATGGTTCAATAATATGCTGCAATCGACAATACTCGTGTCGAAATGGCGTGACCTTAAATACTACAAAGGTAGTAAACGTTGTGTATCGTGATTCGTTGAAACGCTCGTATCATATTGTAATGTCAATAGAAGTCTGCATTTTATCATCCGCTTCACAGTTTAGAACCATTTATCTATCTATTACTATAGCTTTTGTAAATGAATCAACTATTAGACGCGTAATTGATAGATATTATCCCTCTTTCAGCATGTTTAAAATTGATCATCACAAAGTTCAAGACAGAAATAATAACTAGAATCAACTCTGTCTTTTTTTGCTGATTTCATAATAAAAAGAATTGTGGTAGATTAAAAAATATAGCCCAATGGATAAAAAAACAACTAAAACGTTAATACAAAAGTTGAAGAGCTATGTCCTGGTGCTAAGCTGGAGCAAAGATTACAGGTTTTAACTTATGCCATAATATAAAGGATTAAAAGTTACTCTTCATCCATAGTAAATTATTATTTAATTACTGTCATATGACTTTATAAAGTTCAGTCTCTTGCTGTTGTATTCTCTTAGTAGGAATAAATAGAAACGTTACAACAAAAGTTAATAATTTCCATAATTTTGTTAAAAGTATGTTATACAGAAAATTATCTTAATGCTAGGTGCATATTATTAACATTAGAAAACATCTATATTTTTAAATAATGGCAATTGATATAGAGGAGCAAAAACAGTTTAAATAGGAATTACAAAAAAATTATGACTTGCATGTGTGTTGTTGGTAAGTTTATATTTAATAGCAGAAGACTACGGAAATTTATGCCACCAGATGTACTGTAATTGTATAAGCGAATGTAAATAGAGAGAGCCACAGAGTTGGGGAATGCAATATGCAGAAACTGAAATCTTGTCTTCTAAGTGGGGTTTGATTCAACGGTTGAACTTTAGATGTCTCAACAAAGAAGGAAAATTTTAAAGAGGCTTGAAGTGAAAATAATGTAACAGTATTATTAGATTCATGCTCTATATATATTAGCTTAATATTATGTTTGTATTTAGTTAGAATTATATGTATTTATATTACAGTAAATGTGATTGAGAATAACCGCAACATCAAATAATCAGGGTAATCAGAAATGCAACGCGCCAATCTTGTCAGTAAAGACCAACATATCGAGTAGGCACCAGCCATTGACCATTGCAGCAATAGGAATTAGGAAATATTTCACCCGTATATCCATGATAACATTCATCATTAATTTAGAATAGTAGACTCGCATTAAAGAGTGTAACGGTAATTTATTATAAATAGAGGTAGAATATCTCTTGATATGTTGCTAATTGATATATCAATTATTCCGATTAAACGAATAAAGTCAGCCGATTAATCGCTCTCCCGCATTAGCTGGCACAACAAATTTTATCAAAACCTAGTTCGAGATAAGTTGGTCATGAGGATACAATCTGATAAAACGAGTTTTGTCATTGGTACTGTATGATGGCAATAACAGAAGTGTATCGTGTTCACTGTGATACAGTATATCCTTATCATTGGAAAGTAAAAGCCCCCCAACATAAGATATGATAATTTAACATTTCTACATATAATCCATGATAACAATAAGCATGCAACAATGCTACTTGCTATCAAACAATTTATGAACCATGTCTAAATTTTGTGATCACAGGTAAAGTTAATAAACTCGGCCTCTCTCTTATTATTATTTTTTTGGTCAATGTTTGTTATCTCAAGTTCAGGAACAGGCCGAGAAAGAATATTAGCCAATTTTTTCTTTCTATTCTCTTATTCAGTTAAAATGGAGGGTTTCGTGCAACGAATCTTCCATACTAACTATTTCTTCTCTTCACGGTAGTTGTAAATGATCATCGAACATGCATTGTTTGCCTCTTCAGGTATTTTGTCCCTCAAATGCAGAGATGCAAAGGGAGCGGCCATCTTTTTTGTTTAGACAATTCCAAAACTTTAGCAATGACGACCCTATTGATTTCCCCCATTCGACAACGGCTGGACTCCAAGCTGGGTTTTGTTTTGGTTTTTGGTTTTTGGTTTTTTTTGTAACAGATTGAAAAACACTAGAAAAAGATATTCGATGATCTGCCATCAGTATAGTGTAGATCCTAGAAGTCACGGTATTACAAATTTGCGAATAAACATCAGCCATGCATATTCGATCTAAAGTTCGTATTTTACAAGCATGTCCTTTAAAGAACCTAACGTTCCTCACTCTGAGGAAAGTGCGGATGAGGATGATATGATCGAAGATGTTGAAGATGACGAGGAATCTGAAGGTTCGTGTTATCCGACATAAAAGACTAGTACCCTGTTTGATACTAATGCTGTCTGCTGCTAATGAACAGATTTATTGGCCGACTGTCCACTCAACACGGATGTAAGTTGTAAAGCTGTTTGGGCGATGCATTCCGTACAATAGTTACAAGACACTTTCTGTCATTTTGTAGGATATCGAGCTTAGTCATATGCGCGTGACAGATATCACATCATTAGGACTCGATCGATTCACAAACTTGACGGTAAAGAGACTTTTTTCATGTCAGATTGTCATCATAAGCGATTTATTTATTCGAGTCTGGGCCCTTTTTTTTTTCCCATTACGCAGAGGCTCTGTCTCCGTCAAAATTTAATCTCAAAAATTGAAGGTCTTTCCGAGATTGTCACATTAAATGAGTTAGATCTTTATGATAATCGAATATCGTCTATTGAGAATCTTGAGTCTTTAGTCGATTTGGAGTGAGTTGACACATGGGGGTCTCATATTCAGTTTTGAACGTGACGAGACCATTTATGCAAATTGCTAACATGCTCTTTCATCCGCTAACGCTAATGCTATCCCCACATCGATATGACCTGTTATGGCTTAGTTCTCTCGATTTATCCTTTAACAACATACGACATATCGAGGGCATTGAAACGTTGACAAACTTGACAAACTTGTATTTTGTGCAAAACAAAATTTCCAAGATTGAGAACCTGGAATCTCTGACCAAGCTGACAAACTTGGAGTTGGGTGCAAACAGAATTCGAGTGAGTGAAATTGATGATCATGGATGGCAAACATTTTTCATTCAATATTGCGAGATGGACACGTACTTATGCTGTTGATGTACTTTTATATTGAGCTAGAAAATTGAGAAATTGGATACTCTCGTTAACATCGAGCAACTGTGGCTAGGAAATAACAAAATTATCGAATTTCAGGTAATTTATATTTGATGTATTCTTAAAACCCTTGTTTGGATGATAAACGACCTTTTTATTGCTAATGTGTTTCTAGAATCTATCTTATCAACGCAACCTAAGGATTCTTTCGATACAAAGCAATAGGATAACAGAAATCAAAGGATTGGAGGAATTGATAAATCTTGAAGCATTGTATTTGAGTCATAACGGAATCAGCAAAATTACAGGATTAGAGAATAATGTGAGTGGAATTTCAACAACAATACTGTATACAGCGACAAGATCTTTCTTGCAAGGAATTTCATGCTAATAATGATATTTGCAGATAAATTTGCGTGTACTAGATATCGGAAACAACGTTGTGAAACACGTTGAAAATATATCGCATTTGGTAAACCTGGAAGAATTCTGGGTGAGTATTAAACAAAAGCATTGATGCTTTTTACAGGAAGAGATTCTAAGCGTTACTATAAACCCGATTTCGTATTCTTGCCCTGTTATATCAGGCAAGTTACAATCAACTTGAATCGTTTGAAGAAATAGAAAAGCAGCTTGCACATCTGGAGAATCTAAACACAGTATATTTCGAAGGAAATCCTCTGCAAACTAATAATGAAGCAACGTATAGGCTGAGGCTGAAAACGTTACTTCCAACACTGAAACAAATTGATGCAACGTAGGTGATATATTAGTGTCGATTGGAGAAATACGTTGATGCTGGATTTCCACTTATACTTAATTTTGCCGATATAGGTTTGTCAGGTGATATCGGTCAGAAATGACACCCATGTCACAGTATATTGCCATGTATTCAACTGGACAATAGAATATACTAGGAGTACTCGTATCAAGTCACGCTATAAAGCTTATTGGAAAAACTTTTGATCATTGTACATTACACAATGGGAGGCGTTTACTTGGTTAGGATTAATAAATTAAATATAATAATAAACAACCCGGCGATTATCCCCTTTAATTTTGGCAAGTTGGCAATCTTAACTCTAAGTAGAACCGAATGTTCGTCATAATTATAGTAGTACAACAAATAGTAAGAAAACAAGCTCCAAGTTCTACGAGCAGGTCTATATAAATAAAGCGGGTGGTTAGCCAACTTAAAATACGCTTTGTGAGAACAATTGTAACATTATCAAGACTCACCCTTTGGCATTTAAACTGTGGACATCCATCCGATCCGGTAAATTGGCAGGCATTCTAAAAAGTCGAGAACGAGAGCGTTAAAGAGACAGCTCATACAAATATGACGAAAGACGCTGATTACGGCAAAAATGGGCCAAATACTTACGAGCGGTGAACAATCAGGAATTACCACAACACACTGTTTCGTCTTCTTTGGTTTTTTATGGAGACCAAGATACAGCCCTAGAAAATAGTCATCCAAAAGCAGTGAGTATGTGTATTCGAGATAATCATCATTCCCTATGTTAATAATTATGGGAACCATTTTATTAACTTACCAATCCCAGCACCAATGAGTACCACTACTAGTATTATTAGACAAACCCAGAATTTACGTTTACGGTAAAGCGGCCGTTTTTTCATCTTAGGAGGAGAACTCGATGCCTCTGATTTAGTTTCGGTTGTCTGTTGTGTTCCATTTATGTTGTTGTCAATGAGTACGTTTTGCCCAGGTAGCATGCTGGTAGGATATGGATTGTTGACAACTGCAATGGGCTTGTTTGATAAGTGAGGGCTATTGCTGGCGGTTGAAAGTTGGGAAGACGGACTGTATGGAGGGACCAACGGTAATACATCCGGCGGAGGCTCAGCTGGTGGAGGATAGTATTGATTTTGTGTAGACGGATTAGAGGGAAGTTCTGATAGATCTTGAGCTTGATATAGATGGCTTTGGGTTCGGAATTGATGAACTTGAGGCTGTTGGTTTTCAAACTGTTGAATTGGAGGCGATTGAAACTGTTGACTTGGAGGCGATGGTTGCGACTGTTGACTTAGAGGAGATGGTTCTCTTTGAAATTGCTGACCTAAAGGTGATGGTTCTCTTTGGAACTGTTGACCTAGAGGCGTTGGTACTCTCTGAAATTGCTCTTGCTGTGATTGGTTTGGAGGTGGAAACTGCTGCTGGCTTAGCGGCGATGGTTCCCTTTGAACGGGCTGAACCGGTTGGCCAAGAAACGATTCGCGACTGACAACGGGCTGGCCGAGGACTGATTGTTCTTGAGCATATGAAGTATAAATTGATGGAGTATTGCTAGTGCTAGCATTGCTTGAAACGTTCGAGTACACGGACATTCCTCGCAAGTCCTCCCGAACTTCTTGGTGACCGCTTACTTCTAAGCTTGGGTGAGGTGATGCGATTTCCTGGTTGGTCTCGGAGAACACAGTCTCCGCATTACCTGTTGCCATTATTTCTGACCGCAAGTCACTCACTGCTTCTTGGAATAAAGACGAGGGAATGAAACGTTTGGTGTTTGCGGCATACAGGGATTGCTAATAGTATGTCGTATGCGTGATACGAATTTATTTCAACTGTCGATCGTATGCATTGTAATTCGTTAGTGCAGCATGCCAAGATTATGAACTGAAAGATATGCTGGTTTGTAGTTGTCAATAAAGATCTCATATTATCGAAAGATATGCTGATTAGTATCATATTCAATACAATAACAGACATACTTACCAGTGACAGCATCAATATCTGACTTGTTCTTTAACCCTCCTGCATTCTCTCACATTTCGGTAACTCATCATTTTTGAAATTTTCTTTGCAACTCTTACAAGCAAAATCATTAGCAACTATTTTATTAGCCAATTTGCTTCTAGTTACGATTATGATGGCAAACAGCTATGTCTTCACTAAAAAGAGTGGTGCAAAAACAACATTGGGCACGATTTCTACATCAATTTTCCAATTCTAAAATTGGAATTTCTAAAACCATTGTTTTTGCAACTTAAATTTCTGTGTAAATTGTTGAAATTTAGTTTTTATCTTCTTTCCAAATAACTTGATTGTGTTTGGTCTTTTAGGTAAACAAAGAATGATTGTTGCTTGTCGAGCCAGAGCGGAATGACACGTGACTCGTAAGGATTTAACTTTCTTCAAACGGAACGTAGCGCCCCCTACTAAGCATTAAACCAGACTGACAGTTAGTGACCTTTCGTTTAGGCTTTTACGCTGACGGCACTTCCGTTTGCCGGATCGCGACACTATCCTAGATAATTAATTCGACAGTCTGTCCGGTTTAAAATACACCTAATTATTAACGCATTATACTCAACAATTAATTATCTTAATTCGCTACTCAGATAATCGAGGGACAAGCCTTTTCCAATAGGGATTAGTGATTCTGTCTATATCGAATAATTCAGGGAAATACGTAAATAGTTTATGATCAGAGTAAATGCGATACTCGTTTATTGATAAGAT